CCGCAATTCTGATTATTTTTACGTAAATAATAATCCTAACTTAATAGATTCTCAACTTACTTTTTGCCATTGTACTATCTGAGTAAAGTTCAATATTATAGTGTAATTGTCTTCTTCGCAAATCAATGGTGACAGATATAATATATTCATTATTTTGTAATCTAGTAACAAGATCTGTTGTAGTAGTAAAAGCGCTAATAACTAACTATGATTACGTTTACTTAGCAAAATTCACCTTTAATACGGATCAGTAAGTGTTAATTACAAATGCAGCGTCTATAAAAATATCTTTGTAACTTGCCTTTCCAAGATTAAGAATTTGGATTAATAAAATTTTGGTTACCCATCTTTTGCTTTATCTCCTGTAAATTGAAGTGTTTCGTCGTGGTAAATGAAATACAACCTACGACAAAATCTCCCTTGCTCGCGTGGTAACGAAAGTATAATATAATTCAGCAGCTGTTAACTTCTCCGTGAAAATAATAATGACTCGGTTACACTGGTCGATGTTGTCAACATGCGAAGTGCAAGCGACCGGGGCCAATTCTACTAATTTACAACGATCGATCATCAATAGCGTTTCTGTAACGGTTACGTTTCGATTTTTGCTGTAAATTTGCATTCCGCTAACGTAAATTATCAAACGAACGTTTACTAAACTGAAACGTAATCGGAGCCAAATCGCAGCCGAACCAAACAGCTGTCATTAGTGTTACCAGAATAAAATAAATGAAATTATTAGTTAAACGGGAGACGATTAATGATTATTCATTCCTTCATTTTTTTATCATTTCTGTACGTAATGAATGTATTATATTCTTATTCGAACGTTTTAAAATACGGACGAAACACCCGAATATTAGCTACATTAAGAAAGTACATACCTAAGTGTTAAGCTATAAGGGAAAATACCCAAAACGCGAATTTCTAATTAATATTTTTATCATTATGGGTATTTGACACTATAAAAATGAGTTTCGTACTATTATCATCATGTTAGATAATAATCTAATAAAAGTTTATTTCTTCGAAACGGTAGATTTAAACAATTATATTCATCGAAAATAGAACAGATTCTCATGTAATATATTGACAGTGTGTTTATAATGTATCAAACAACTATTTTAATTAATTAGTTTTCAGAAAATCGTCATATACCCAATTCTAACTTTTATTAAGCACTCAACTTTAAACATGCTTAATTTTTAAAGCATAAATCCGATATAATTAAGTCTTTTAATTAACAAAAAAGTCAGATGAAATACTATAAATCCTGGCGTCGACTAAAGATAACGTCAAGCTTAAAGAGTTAAGTTTCAAAATTCGAATGGTGTTGGTTTATTTTTATTGTTTATACCGAGTTTTAATTCGCAAAATAAATGTTATTATGTGAGATAAAGTAGCATGAAAGTGAATAATATGATTCCGTAAAATAAAACGGTACCTACATAGGTAGGTCGTGAACAGAAAAGTTTTGACTCATTTTCGGTCACTAACAAACTGTAATAAGTGAGGTATGCAATCAGTCCAAGACTAGGACGAGCATTAATCCAGAGGTGTATACTTTACTTTAAACAACTCCGTTTCAAAAGAATGTACAACAAAAATAATCATTAAATTTATATATTTGTTTGTACTAAAAATTAAATGTTAAAGTTAAATGATGATTGCATATGACTTTAGTAACTTCAATCCATTTAAACAGAATTCATTAAACTTCATTGAATATCATCGGACTTCATCAAACTACATGGATAGTTCATATTGTGACTTTATGGGACTTCATTAGGTTTTCATATAACATTTCCAATGGAAATTACATAATAATAATAATATATATATATTTATTTATTTGGGCATTGTTGAATCAACAACCGTAGTAGTCCGTAAAACTTAGGAAAAATGCAAAATTGCACCAAAATTAACTAAAAGTATATTAAAGTTTTTTTTATTCAATAAATGTTACTGCAGTTCTATTACATATAGTGAATTAATCGATTATTTTCCAATCGATGTTTGATTTTCATATTGCAACACCAATTCACTTTTTGTCAATACAAACCACAATGATACAGACAATGTTTTAATTAATCTTTCATTCATTACTTTTTCATTTTACATGTAGAAATTAATTTATTCACTTGACTTTGGCAGAATTGTGTGAAATGCGCAGATATACCATTAATAAAAGAAGAATGAAATTGACAAAATTGAATTGTAAATGACAATTTAAGAGGAAGATATTGTTCAATGGCCTTGCTATGTGGGCGGAGTTACGGCGATGCAACGCGCGGCGCCTCGCGATCCCGCGGTTCGTGTACGTACATCGTCGGCGCTGAAGTTTGCACGTGTGTGCGTTTTTAGTAGAGAGTACTACCTACATCGAATAATAAGGCTGCGTCCACACCCCACTTTGAACGCCGAGCATGTATGACGTAATACTTACATCTATGCATCTATAACGTAAACTTAGCGTTTACGTAAAGTTTACATTATATGTACGTTTACATTTATGTATTACGTTAATCACAATGGAGAAATATTTTTTTATTTATTTTATTAATTGGGCGCATCTCTTTTTTTCTGTAGTCGGGATAAAAAAAGTAAAAAATAAAAAAGTTACCATACCTTGAAATACTAATGTGCGCAATTTACCAGATACAATTAAGTAACTGGTTTGGACTATTGGCGAGCTGTTTATTGATACTAAGGGTATTTTTTTGAATGATAAAGAAATGATAAGCTTCTTTTGAGTCACCTGGGTAACCGTTATGTTTTGGAATAAAAAAAAATTATTGTAATGTTTCTTTATACTTTATTAGATACATGGTAGCAAAAATAATTATATAATTTTAACAACTTTATTCTCAACCTACGATTATTTGAAAAATTAGTAAAAACGTTGTCTCTTGGATAACTGTGAATAGAAATAATATTTAACTTTAACATAATTCTTATACATTTTAGGTTTTTTCTTCAAATCATTGATATCTAGAAATTGTATTAGAAGTTGTAATCAACACTATTTTCTTGACTTTTTAACAAAGAAGAAAATTAAGATAAATACTAAAAATGATTTTACAAACTAGGGACAATTGGTTTTCCAAGAGACACAATTAGGTTTTCGAAGAGACATCAGAAAGTAGTTTAATAGAGATAGGGCGCTTGTGCACTACACTGAATTTTCATGTCCGGCGGTCCGATTTTTTCAGGTCCGATATGTCAGGCCATGTGTAGGTAATGCGCGCTTGTGCACTGTCAGGAATTTTACCGTCCGGAATTTTACTTTTCTCTATTCCGGACCGGTTTTTTCAGGTCCGTGATGGCGGCAATGAAAAACGTGCTTACGCTTGTGCACTGCTGTGTCCGAGATCCGGAAAATTCATAAGGAATAGGCTTGGGAAAAAATAATCGATTTGAATCGATATTTATTTCGGCAATATTGTTAATTTCCAATAAACTTATAATCGATATTTGTAGTTGATTATAAAATACTATATTTTATATGATGATTTAATATAGTTGGTATATATCACTGCATATGCTTTGGCAAACTCGGTATGGTTCTAATTTGATCAGCGTATGGTTCTAGTATCGATACTTAGCTAGATTTTAGAATCGTATTAATAGAATCGATAGCTTAAGGTAAGATAAATAAGTGTAGTTACGCATAGACGCCTAAACAACTGAACCCATCTAAATGGAAATTAATATAGTAAATAGACTTAACTTTAAGAAAGATCATAGGCTACATTTCATCGCGAAAAATAGGGGATGAAAGTTTGCCTGGAAATTTGTCATTATCAATTTTTTTTCGACAATTGATAAGTATAGATAAATATTTGACAACAGAAGTAATAATAAAGAATAAACAGAAGATTAACAAAAGTAATTAAGTGACACTCAATGTCTTTTTCGCATTTAATAAAATTTTCAATGTATGTTTGTGTCATTAATAAATTTAAAAAAACGAAGTATTCTAAGGGAATAATATTTCTGCTCAAAGTAACTACACCACGCGTATAAAATTATGCCTATATATAATACTGTCAACTGATTTCGTCAAGTTCATTTAGCATAATAATTCTCCGCTTACACGGCACTAATTTTGATTTATTTACGAAATGGCGCCACCGATTGGTCTATCTCTGTAATCGCTGAAAGTTGTTTTTACAAAACTTCGAAAAAAAATAGCACGTTTAAAAGTTTAAACATCAAATACTAGACCATTATCAGTCATTTTATTCTAATGTCACAGATATTTTTAGCTATTGTATATGATTAATGCTGTTCCTAAATTAGTAAGGGTATTAGTTTTTACATCTGATAGTAGTCATCCGATAGTAGTAAAAAAATGCTTTTGTCTTGCCATAATTTATTATGGTATGTAAAACGATCAGATCATTATTTAGGTACTTTTCTACGTCTTCGAACGGAATTACCGACGTTCCAAAAATCTCATCGTACCTAGCGTTAGTGACGTGTAGCTTCAAAGAGAGCTGCCCTACACTGCGCCGCTCCGATCAGGAAAAAAACGGACAAGTGCACAAGCTACTCATCCGGGTTTTTCATGTCATTCCGGACCGGAAAAAATCGGACCGCCGGACCTGAAAATTCAGTGTAGTGCACAAGCGCCCATAGTATTCAAAAATTGACTAACCGTTTTTAGTAACGAAATAAATATCTTAAGACTCTATAATACGAGAGTAGTTAAACAAGAAAATCAACAATTTATCAAATAGTAGACTAGTACTCAGTCAAATAGTTAAATATTATCCAAATATAATCAGCCTTGCATATTATTTTGTTCTAAGAACCATCAAAATAACTAAAGAGCTTTAAAAAACTTAATACTTAGATAATTATAGAGGTACTTATAAAAACTTAATAATCAGTCAAACCTTAACATAATCAGCCTTTTCATAGAAAAAATTAAAATAACTCTAGATTACCAATAGTGAGTTAAGACATTACAGTTATCAATCGTGCAAAACAAGGTTTTACATTTCAAAAATATCAATATTATCTGTAAACTGGAAGTGATACTGACCACGTTTTGGTCGTGGTAATTTTTTTATGATGTCCTCATGCTTGATGTAGGCAACATCGTTTTTGTCAAGGCGGAAAGTTTTTGCATTATTTACGCGCCGCAAAAACGTGACTCGTATTTCTCCATCATCGTCCAGTTCATCAATGACACAGACATATCTGTATAGTTTGCCTTTCATGTTTTGTACATTGACCAACAAATAATCACCTTGAGAATAAGCCACACGCTGTTCTTGTCCAGACCCTGTAGGTACTGAAGAACATGATTCCTGTTCGTCTTCTGAGTCATAAATAATTCCATATGTGGGTTTATCACGTGGTTGACATAGATGAGAAATTTCGATCTCACTGTCTCTATTTTGTTGATCTTCCAAAGCTAAGTTTTTGAGAACACTCAATGGTTCGTTATCATCTGATGAACTACTTCAGTAATAACATGTTTTATTAATTCTGATGTTCGTAGTATAATAAATTTTAACGTCCAGGCAATCACAAAATCCTCTATTACAAAAACATCCCAAACTTCTATATTTTATATATTACACTTAATGTTTTTAGAAGGGCCACAAAAGCGCCTTGATTTTAGAAGGTAGAGCTTTACATATTGTATCAATATTATTCTGAGAAATTATGAACAGTTTTATCTTGCAGTTAAATCTTCAACTGTTCCTTTCTTTGTTTCTTTAATATTTTTTACTGCCTTGTGTGTTCGTCCATCTTTTTCATATGATATTTCTTTCCTACACCATTCCTGCCACGTCATTGTCATTGATTTTTTTGTGATATCATGTCCTATTCTTTTATTACAGCAATCTTGACATGTAGAGTCTTTGTGGATCACAAACTATTGCCGAAATCAGGTGGTCTAAATTATCGTCATTAACAATTCCTTTCTTTTTGAGTACCTGTGCTTTATAGGTCCGGTTGAGATGTTTCTCGCATAAGCACATTTCTCGTGCGGAGACTGAAGGCTTCACAACATAAAAAGGTAGGCTTTTGGAAAAGTAGCTGTATGAACATTTGATGTCAGGGTTTTCCTTTTTGAATGTTTGAAAGAAAGCTTTTACTGTATCCAATAAATACCTCTTTTGCATTTTCACACTACTTTTAGTTTTTGTATCTTTTCTTCCAGCCGTTGGCCTCGGTATATCATCTCTTGAAAAGAAATACCCGATTCTTTCATTTAACTTTAGTTCGCTATATCGTACACTTATCGTAGATCTCAAACTCCCTTTCAAACCTAATGCATCTTTTGCAATGTTGACTTTTACCGAATCTTGAATTTGGTCAAATACTCTTTAAAACGTAGTTTTTTCTCGATTTTTTTTCAAAGATATGTATTTTTCTTTTATCGCATTGCTTAATGTTCTGTATTTTTTTTCAAAATTATTTTCATATCTATCTTTAAAGTTTTCCTTATTTTTTTTTTTGTGATCTTTGGTATCGTTTCTTATATTTTTCGTATTTTTGTTTTAATTTTTCATTTCCTTTCTTTAGCTTTAAACTGTCTCTATAAGAGTTTTGACCGGTCACGTTTAATTTGCTTTCTACCTCTTTCCTTGTGAGAAACTGATGAACCTTGCGACAGTGCAGGAGAATCGTTTCGTTGAATCTCTATCAGTTTATTATAATTATAATTTGGTTCATTTTCCACGAAAATGGCGAACTTGGAGGTGTATTATCAATAAACGGTGAAGATTTTTTTTTCTATCTCTTTGTTTTTTTTTTCTTAATCTCCAAATTACTCGAGAATTATATTTTTCTTTGGCATTTCTTTACCAGTACCAGTATACCAGTCTTTTTGTAGCGTGGTAACTTTCTCTCTTTTTCTTTTTATACTTGTTGTACTTTTCTGGATCAAGTTTTAACCTTTCTTTAAAGCGCCTTTGCTTTTCTTTGTTAGATAGTGGCATCACCTAGAACCAAATTAATTAAAAACTGTTAGAAATCCTTTATTTAAAAATAGTAATTATATTCAATAGTAACTGGCCCTACGAACTTTGTGGATTGAATAGAAAGTGTTCAATAAAAATGCAAGTTGTTTTTTTTTGATTGATAGCACAATATTATATACACAAATAATGTTACACAAATAAATCTCCTATAAAAATGATATAGCAATATTTGCACAATAGCCATCGATTTTGAAAAAAAAAAGTATATTTAATAGTTGATAATAATCTAAAAAAGGAGATATACATTTTTTGCCGGGCCTGGGTCATATAATATGACGGACCTTCTTTTCAATTTTTAATTAATTAATTAATTTTTAATTATTTTTTTCCCATGATAAACAAATAATTTTACGATGTAATTTTTTCAAAGTTGCTAGAACTTATATAATATACTTACATAATTTTTCATACTGCAAAACTCCAAAAATTTGGTATTCAGCAACTTGCAGCAACTATATGAAAATATGCTTTTTAATTCGCTACAATTTGCAGACTCCATTTCTGTAGTAAAACATTAAAGTTTTTTTTATTCCTATAATGCAGTTAAATTAATCTTCAAAAAGTATAAAAAAAAATATAACAACAACAAGTTAGTAAAAACTTATATTAAAAGCACAAATAACTGTATATAACATATGTAAATAGAACACAATAAATTCAATACTATAAAATATGTATGTTTATTATATTACAAACTTATATCTAAACTTATTTACAAAATATTCACAATAATAACGTTCACAAAAGCGTCCGAACGCAAAAACAAAAAAAATAAACACTACAAATTCAAGGATAAATATCAAAACACATTACACGCACACTATGGTAAATTTGTGTCGATTGCATATAGTATTTTGGAGCAACGAGCGACACAAGCTACTCGTCGGAATGCCAGCGGAAGACTGCCGCGCGCGCCCGCACACAGCCCCTCCGCAATATATCGATTGAAATTTCGATAGAATCGATAGTTTGTTCAGCGAATGTTAACTGATTTACATGAGAAACGCTCTTTTTAGAGTACTTCTGATTACCTTTCTATTAGTGTTTAAACATTTCCAAAATACGTAGCCGTTTATTAGATATTATTCCTGGAAGTTTAACGACAGCGTTCCGTTTTTAATTCATTATATATAGAATTTTTAAAGATAGAATAATTTTAAACGCTCTTTATGGAGATAAAGAGTTGATGATTCATATATATTTTTTTCATAATTTTTGAACCAACCGTTTTGGAGATATTATTCCTGGAAAATGCCCATTTTTGTTAATCCTCGCCTACTAAAACAATCCGCATATGTGTATTTTTTTGTAATATTAAACTGTAATAGAAAGTGAAACATTATACTTGAAAATGTTATTTACAAAATTAATTTTATAAAATAATTCATACCATGTATTGGCTACGCACGTGAAATTGGCAGAATTATGCGAAAGCCCTTAATAAAAGAAGAAGTTTTCGATTGAAAATAAATATTCATACGTATCAATAACATAGTGAAGAAGATAAACGATAGTCGACTCAAAGTAGACATTTAAGAGAGAATTATTGATGATGAAATGAATCCAATATCTTTCGAAATCTGGCTATACCTACATCTGTACACCGAATCAAGCAAGGCAACATAATATATACTGTGGAAAATCTATACAAGATTAAATTTAAAACAATTTTTGTTATAGAAACCCATTAGAAATGTCATTATTGACTAGATATTATAAGTAAGATCAGAGAAAATTATTAATGATTTGACATATCTTTCACATTAAGTTGTATACAAATTAAATTCTTGTAGTTGCATAGATCTGCTCGCAGCTGTCATCCATGTTGACTATGAGCAAATTAAGTATAAGTTTCAACTGATATAAAAGAACTTACACATATAAATTCCTGCAAAATTGAACAAGAGCTCCTGATTCACAGGCTTATTTTTTTTGTTCTAAATTGTAACCCATCATAGTGTATGACAGTTTTCTTTGGGTTAAAATTGGTGGTTGGTTTTAACTTTGTGTCAAAAACAGTAGAATATGTATTTTTCATGTAGGTAATACTAATTAGGCTGAACATTTATCTTGCACACAACTTAATATATGGTTACAGAAAGCCTCGTGTTATTTCAAATGTTACATAAAACTGAGCTGCGGCTAAGCTCAATTTTATGTAATTTTTTTAAATTAATAATAATTCAGAATAAAATCTTATAAACAGTATATTTACCTGTTTAACAATCCTTTAAACATGATGATGATATGATGTAATAATCCTTTATAATATTATAATCTCCAAATAAAAAAGTGAGTAATACTTATGTCAGAAAAAAAAATTCATAATTATAATTTTTTAATTAAGATTATTATATGATCATATTTTCTTTTTAATGTTATTGATAAAATTTACACCCCTGTCTTCATAAATTGTTATCTCTCTCTCTCCATCCCATGATTGCCTGGAAGAAATCACTTTAAGCGATAAGGCCGCCAATTGTTACATTATTTTGTTAAACTGTTTTAAATTTGTATACCTATATAACTTGTGTAATGTTAACAATAAAGAATTTTCTATTCTATTCTCTATAATGGTATTATTAATATAGTTTTGGTGAACTTCCTAAACATAAATAAGCATATGCTCACTAGTAATGCAAGTAATTCTTAAATTCACAAAACCTGCTGGTTATCTGGTAGTTAAATTGGTTTTAGCAGACGCCCAGACTGTGAGTGTTTATGGGTTTAAATCCCACCTCAAGCACTAATTGCTTGAAGTGGGTTTTTTAATTATTTTCCTTTAAGATAAATATCAATATAGTATTGCAAATGCAAAAGTGATCAGAAAAAATAATGATAAATTAATTAATTTTTAAACAAGGACTTTTTCAGTGCCATTTTTATTGGAATTCCACACATGCTTGTAAATACACACTTTTAAGTTTTCCTGTAAAAATACTACAATAGTTTACTTTTTCAATACAAAATATTCAAAAATTCATGTTTTTATAATCATAGATAAGTTTACTTAAAGCCAAAAGCCCCTACAATCTAATAATGATTTTTACGATGTTCCTATTTACAATGATTGTTTATAATTATGTAAAGTTTTAACAGAAATATAATTATTGATTTTAATTTACATTACATGCCTCAACTAGGTGGACCTTATTTATGTTAAGAATCTACATAATATGAATTTAACATTTCAAATTGATAGAAGAATGAAAACCTATTAATTTATCTATAAATTTAAGTTTTTAATAAAAAATAATAATTTAAGATTAATAATCAAGATATAATTTATTTTATTTTTAAAGTCTGCCAACATTTTAACATATCAATAAGCAACCACAAAATTACAGAACTATCTATAACAAATAGATGAAATGGTGTACATAAAAAGTTTATTAAACATATGCATGCACTATCACACTTGTTTATCTAGCTCCATAGTTTTCGATTTCATTTTTTTTCTAATCATTTTACATAATTTATATCACATGGAAATGAATAATAAATAATATTGGATAGAAAATTTTATATGCTTGAAGTGCTAGACAGTTAAAGATTAAAATTTTTTGGTACCTTAATATAAGGTATTTTTATAAATAATTGATGATAAAGCAAACATATCAATGGATTTACACAACTTATTATGTTCTTTACAGTCTATTGATAACTCACTCACAAACTCTTTAAAATGTAGGAATTAAAAGTCACAGTGGATTGGAGTATTTAATATATTTCACGTTGTAAATACATAAAAGTCAGATGAGAGTAAAGAAGAGAGTGACATAAAAACAATAAACAGTGTATAAAATACTAATTCAAAAAGGTATACGAAAAGATGCCAGTGTCTGATTAATATAGAAAAAGGTTTTATCTACACCTCCCCGTAATCAGGACACTTATGTACACCCTTTATATAAACACACTGTATGTACAAAAACACTATAATATCAAAAGTACCTTAACATGATGCCCTAACCTAATTAACCTAATAACACAGAACAAATAACACTAAACTAATCCTAAATTAGTTAGGCACATATAGTGTCTCAGCTTAGGCAGTGGCTTTGTGAGAATGTCTGCTGTTTGGTGAGCTGATGGTATGAATGACACATTGACTTGTTTAGTGGATATAGACTCACAAACAAAATGATGTCTAATATCAATATGTTTTGTGCGGGCGTGATGCGTGTTGTTTTTTGTTAATTTGATGGCACTTTGATTGTCACAATTAATGGTGATGGGTGACGAAAAGCAAAAGATGTCGCTTAGTAATGAGCGAATGTAGATGGCTTCCTTACAGGCTTCACTTAGAGCCATGTACTCAGCTTCTGTTGTTGATGTTGCAACGGTTCTCTGTTTACGTGATTCCCATGACACTGCTGAACCACACATTTGGAAAACATATCCTGTATAGGATCGTCTGTCCACCAGATTACCACCATGATCGGCATCAGCAAATCCGATTAGATCACCACTATTGTTATAGGTCAGTTTCCTATTTTTTATAGCCTTCAGGTACCGATGAACACGTTTCGCAGCTCTCCAATGTACCGAGATAAAACTTCTTCTATACAAACACTACAAATACCTATGTTTGCCGAAGTTACTTTTGTAGGGCAAAATGTTTTTAATTATCAATTCTGAAGATGGATCAAGGTATTTTATTTCACTCAGCAATTGGGGGTACCTAATTGCACCTCTTAAAATTTTAAATAATATAAATTGTTTCACATCTATCATTAAACGCTAACTATCGATCGTCAAAAAGTAGAAATTTGCAACTTTTTAGAAATCGTTAATTTTGACAGATGAAACGTTCGGATTTAGTAACGTTTCAGTAGCGTTTCGATCCAACGAAGTGTCAAAATTTTAGTGGAATAAGGGCCGACGATCGACTCAAGTATATGGACGTAGTTATGCAAACCAGCCACATGATGTCAGTTTTGAGAAAAATGGGTTTCTTGTTTTTAGTAATAATTGTTTGTAGAATATATTTTATTTTATTTATTTATCAAGAAATTTTGTGAATTTACAACATTTGAGTTTAATTGCAACACTTTTAGGCTTCTCTGCACATAATTCGATTTTGACAGATTTGTGGGTTGGTTCCGGTTTGCATAACTACATCTGTATAGTTCTATGTTCGATTGAGCGAGTAGAATACCGTTTACAGTTTCTGTTGATCGATAGTTAGCTAAACTAAAATAGAACCGGAACTGTATCGTTTGACGCCATTTTGACACCGAGTAGAATAGGAAAACCACTAAAAGTTGTAGTTTCGTTCGGTTTCGTTCCGTTTTCGATTCGATTTAAACAAAATTTATTTAGTAGAATTGGCCCCCTGTGCTCGTTCGTCCCATTGGCCAATAAAACAATGACCGACCAATTAAAGCCATCCTATCAAAGTATAGA